CATGCATGCATTCATACATACATATACATATACATATACATACATACATGCATCCATACCCGCATACAGACATACAGACATGCAGAGATACAGACATACAGACATACAGATACAGTTGCACAGATGCATGTGCACACATGCACAGGTACGCATATGCATACACATCCACATGTACAAATACTCATACCTGTGCACAATAAGCGGTACAATCTTACTCACGGCCGTTGCAGTGGCATAGTTAACGTCGATGGCTGCGGTTGAGGCAAGCTCCACCTTGACCACGAAGCGGGCCCGCAGGCTTGCTGCCCCAGACTTCATCGACCTGGCCTGTGACGGCATATCTAGCTGGCTTTCACTGATGACGAGGTGTTTTCCCTCGTTCTATGTTTCTGCTGTATGGAGGAAGTGTCATTAAAAGTTTCCGGTGGCACGTCTTTGGAATCGAGCTTTGGTGTTTGAGGCAGTATGACTGGTATGCCCGACTATGGTTCTGACTCCGCCGTTTTCATCACCTTCCTGTCTCTGCAGATCCTCTTTGAAGCATACGTGTGTGCACGAGGGAGGTGCAAGCAACTCGTCTGCCAGAGTCCGTTGGACCCCGGTCGCTGCTGCTGCGATCCTGAGGTCAGCAGGAAAGTATTCTGCCACATTAGAGCCGAACCTTTCCAGGTATTTCCTGTCGTGTTCTCAACTGTTTCAAGCTGTGCTAGGACAGCCAAGCCCGCGAACTCCACATGCAGCTGGCCACGCCATCGGCAGAACACAAGTCAGCTGACAAGGAGAGGGAGCGGAAGGCGTGGTCTCTGCTGGAGAGCAGTCGAGCCTGAGCACTGCCGTGAGTTCTTTGCCATTCAGAGGTGAAGAAGCTCTCCAAACACTTGGTACTCCACTCAAAAACCGTGAGGCACCCAGGATGCCCCAAATCCATCTCTGGCGGGTAAGACAGGGGGCTTTCCTGGCTCTCAGGTTGAGCTCATGCTAGACTGCTTTGAGAATCGGGTGGTCCTCAAGCGCTTAAGCATCTCAGCCGCAGGGCTCTACGCATTCACACTATGCTCTGCTAGCACTCGGCTTTCCCAGGTGACAGCGCTGCAGCTCACAGCAACAGCTCGGAATCATGACCGCCTTATGCTTTCCATGAGTTTCCCGAATGTTAGCCGGCATTCGGCCTTCCGGCCGTTCCATCCGAGATGCGAGTACGTCACTCTGCCAACCAAGGCATCTACTCTGGCTTCGTTGGTCTCTATAGCAAGGAGAGACTGTTTGTGGCTCGGCTGAAAGTAGAAGAAAACGAGGTTCGAACAATCACCGCTGCCGACTGAGACTGCCTTCCTTGCATCCACCACTTGCATTTAAGTTCAGCATGGCCGCAAAACGAGGTTTGGGCATTTTCTGAGACCCCTGGAGGCAGAGTTTGTCAAGCACAAAATGCATCTTGCATAGAATTCTCATGGCTTCTCGGAACACTTTGGAGGCTCCCGGCCTTCCCAAGGATGCTCCCGAGACAGAGCCGCGAGTCTTGTCGCTACTGTGCCACTTACAAAATGAGGACCATCACTTGGTTGATGCGACGTGACATGGTTCTTCTGTTTGTGTGTGTGTGTTTGCATGTGCATGTATGTGTATATATATATATATGTCTATATATATATATACACACACATACATGTGTGTGTGTGTGTTTGCATGGAGAGCCTCGGGCTCAAGGAACATGTGGACGACGCAAGAAGAGCCTTTGTGGTCTCTGTCTGTCTGTGTGTGTGTTGTGTGTGCGTTTGTGAGCGTGAAAAAGGTTTGTTATCTCTTTGCAGGAGATGGAGAGGATGGACGCGGTCGTTGCGAGGCCTGCAGCCTACAGTAGGATTGCTGTAGCATGTTGAGTGCTTTGACATCCTCGAAAACCGAGGTGTCTGACTCAGTGTCTGGATTGGCCGCGCATCGGTGGTGAAGTGGAGTTCTTCTGCTCGCGGACGCTCGTGTCACGGGCATCTCAGCTGTCTCAGCTGGCACGAAAACTTCAAGCCCCACACACACTCAGACTACCTGCTTGCCATGCGGTAGCCAAAACTCAGCATGCACGGCATTCCTGTGCAGCAAGCAGCAAGTCCTGTACTTTTGCTCTGCGTTACCTACCCAACATGCCGTGAACAAGTGGCCAGAGCAAGTGCCGAAGCCTCGTCGTGGCATGTCGTGGCATGACAGGTAGCTGGGCACAGCTCGGCTGTTGAACGGAGCAGGGCAGCAGGTAGAGGGGCACAGAGCAGCAACGATGAACGTGAGCAGCAGCCTTCAGGAAGCAACGAGTCCTGTGCGTTGTGGTATCTCCTGATCAACGACACGTTAGAGCCAACATAGCGTTTACCATCTGGCGGGGTGCGTTGTGATGAGTTTGCCGGTTGACTCGTCAGCAGTACTTGCAGCCCCCGGCTCCTTCGACAGTCTCAGGTTATCCTCAATGCAGTGGAGCGCGAGCTGTCTGTGGTTGTGCAGGGCAGCGCTGCCTCTGAGGTCGTTTTGGTGTGGGCCTCGAAATTATGTAGTTCTGCAACAAGCGATTCCGTGACGTGAGGCAGAGTTCCATGTATGTCCCGTCAGGGAGCATACCGCGTCGGCTACGAGCTTTTCGAGACCAGGTATAGGAGACTGCTTTTGAGCATGCAGCAGCTCTTCCATGCCTCCTGATCGCCTCAGCAGAGAATGGGTTTGCTGACACCTTGCCGGAATTGGTGCTGAACGCAGCTTATGCAGGGTCTGTCTATTTGTTCTGCAGGACGAAGCCGCTGGAGATCTTTGCGGATTGCCGTGAGCCTACGATAAAGACTGAGACAGCACCAGCCACATGTCGTGGCTCCTTATAGAGCACGCACGGACTTGAAGCAGCATGTGGCCCCCTCCTCTTCATCCTTCATACCACACCACCACCGCTGTTGTGGTCACCATCCTTATCATCCACCTATCCCGGCTCCCCATCCTCGTCGTTATCACCATAAACGTCACTAGCACTCCATACTCATCCCACCTCCGCTCCTCTCTTCCTGTTCTCCTCCTCCTCCTCCTCATCCACCTCCTCGTCCATATTGTGATCCTCACCCTCATCCTGTTGCTCGGCCTCGAGCTCCTGTAAGTAGGCTTCCTTGCCACCTGCCGCAGCCCAGGTGGCCTTCTGGACCCCGATGTTCTCCAAAGGCCACAGGTGCCCCGATGCGTGACAGCACCGCCGCTCAATCAACCGAGTGGGCTGCCTTAAGTCAGACTTCTCTGCCGGAAAGAGTTATAAACTGCTGAAACAAAGCATTACATGAGATCGCCCCTGCGCAGGTGCAGTTTATCCTCAATGCTGAGATTGATGCTCAGCTCTTTGACTGCACTGGGCGCTAAAAACGTGGAGCTTCCCATGAATTGCAGACTTTGCCGTGGCTACTCTCAGCGGACGTCTGTTTGGAGGCTGCATGGTGGCGGGTTGACCCCCGGAGCACTTATTGCAGCGGTGAGGAGAGGAAATCAAGTTCAAAATGCACCGGTCACCAGAGTCACCAGGGAATGCCTTCTTCGAAGGAGCCTTTGCCTTCATGGAGAGGAGAAGTCGCTGATGCCGAACCTATCTTAGTCTGTGGTGCACGGCAGTGCTTCAAGCAATCCCAAGTCTTGCAGCTGAGGGGAAGCCAGCCGAAAGCATACTTTTGGTACAAAGGTCTGGTGGCAGTCCTGAAGGCTACCGGACCACCATTGTCCTACATCCTACATACTTGAGCCAGTTCTTGTCACCAGGATTTGGGCTGGAGCAGAGAAGAATTGGAGACCCTTGGACGGCAACTACGTCACGTCACAGCTAAGCGCACTCCGCCTGAGCACCCCTGAGCACCCGAAACTGTTACACCGGCGAGGCCTTCGAAAGGTTGGTTGCAGAATCGGTGGGATGAGTTGACTGAAAGCTTGCCCCCTACATTCTGCCGTCTCGTGGCCGAGACTAAGCTTGGCGAAGCCTTACACTGATACGCACGTGCTTGGGTGAGGATGTGATCTTTTCGAGTGCGCCGCTGCCTTCCTTTGCAGAAGTCTGCAGACATGTTGTGTAGGGTTTTCCTGGCCAGCAAGGCTTGCTTGGGGACTCCGCATTCCACCGTCGCATTGTGTCATTTTGTCTCAAGCTCAAGCATCAAACGCCGCGGCATTAGCAGTGTCTGCACCGTTTCCGGCTGAGGCACGGAGCTTGTAGTTGCGAGAATATGCCCTTTTCAGGTAGACTAGGAGAAAAGTCAGCTGTTCAAGAGCCGGGTTCAGAAGAAGGAAGCGTCTTGCCCAAACAAGCTTTCATACTGGTGGCTAAAAGAAGGGCTCGCGCGCAATCGCAGGCTACGTGGAATTGCTGCAGTGGCATGATCAAACCTTTGCTGGGGAAAGATCTTCGCCTTGAGTCGGAACATTGGGTTCAGCGGGAGTCGAGAGTGAAACCAAAGCCAGACCCGCGGCGACTCTTGGGAAAGGTCAACAGCACAAGCCGGCAAGTGGGTAACGTGGCTCCGCTGAAGGGCTCTTACGGCAAGGGAGGAGTGCATGTGCCACATGTGCTTGGCTTAACAGAGAACTCCGCTTAGAGGTTCGCGGTTCGGGTAGGCAGAACAGAGCAGCCCACAAGCGGTCAGTCAGGAGATGCGACATCTCAGGGCATCTCAGGGCAAGGCTGTCATGAGGCCACGGCAGAAAACGTGAAATGAGGAAGGAAAAGAAAGAGGGGAACGAGAGTTCTCAGCTACGCTGGGCTAGGAGCAAGAGAGCAGAGAAACCAATCAGCTGCGTCAGGTCCAACATGGGACTTGGCGCCAACCAGCTGCTGGTGAGTTCCTTTGCGGACAAGGCGCTCGGATCCGGTTTGCCAGACCACGACCGCATCTTACCGGTAGCAGCCGATTCGGCAGCGCTGCCAAAACACAAAGCATCAGCCGACTGCGCAACTTTAAACTACTGTAGACCTGCGTTTTCTCCAGAGGAGGCGCAGCTAAGACATCTCGAAGGGTCTTCACGTTGTGGGACCTCCAACTTGTCCTCGACGAGCTCTCAATGATAACCCGGTAACTGTAACAGCATTCCAATGTGCACATCGTAAACCAATGTATTCAGCTTCTCGTAGCCATCGTGAAGTTTCCGTGACACCAGGAGGCACAAACTTTCAGGCTTCGCGGGACGTAGAAGCATGGGCTACCCGCAACTCCAAAAAGGCATGTCCAAACAGTGGTCGCGTGGAAGAGTCTGAGAATGAACAGCGAAAAAGAAGCAGACGGAATGTGACAGAAAGGTCCCGAACGGGCAAAGCACTGGTACCCGTGTAATGCGAGGCAGAAAACGATAGGCTGCAGCGTTTGGGAAATCGTGGCATTGTCTATAGTCTATAGTGCGCACTTTTGCAGGGAGAGCTTCCGACTTTCTGACATTGCTGTAATCCAGGCAAAAGGACTGACATTCGATGCTGGTCCGTGCATGCCAAATTCAGGGGCTGGAGCTGCGGGAGTACTATGCCGCGGCATGCGGCCATTGCCAGGCAGCGGTCGGATTCGTGCAACCTGCAAGTATAAGCCACAGCATCGCCAAGATACATATAGTATGACCAGGCCTTGGCGCCTGCGTGGAAGGCGGCACAGAGTGCCTACTCGGGCCCGGTCACATTCCGCTGCTCGGGCTGGCTTTGACATCTCATGCCACCTTTTATGAGAGATCGATCTCTCAGGCCAGATCGAGTGCAATGACCAAAACTGGAATCCGGTTCCAGAGAACGCTGATCTTTGCAAGGCTCTGTGACGAAGAAGGCGCTTGCCTTCTTCACTCGGGCTGAATCTTCCTGTTGCCAGGATGTTCGAGCCTTCCCGACGATCAAGACACTGGGCTGTTCCTGGTGGGATTTGTTGTAGTGGCACGATCGAAGAGATGTGCCATAGCGACAGACGAGCCCAAGGATGTTCAAGGACGGTGAGGAAATCTCCGATTACGATGGCAACCGCTCGAGCGAGTCATTGGTGAACTTTGCGAAAGATCACGAGCAACTCCGACGCAGTTGAGCAGAATGTCTGGCACGAGAGTCTGCTTTGGCAGAGGGCAACCGTGTCGGGTGTGGGCTGAGCGATGGTTTGCCACAGTTCACGTGACTGCGGTGTTGCGAAAGGAAGCTGCTGACACAATCGATGCCAGCCTTCTCTTGCTTGTTGGGGCCACCGCCCACTCGCCGTAGGTCGGCTGCTCCTCGGAAAAGAAGACTGTTTGGCGGTTCTCCAGCCATTTGAAGTTTCAGCACTGCTGCGTTCTGGTGCCGCTGCATGCGCGGCCTTGTGCTTGAACCCACTCTGGCAAAAGGCAGACTTCCTTTGATTCCACGAGGGCTGAACTTCCGATGGTGCCTCGGACACTTTGTAGAGCCTGTCCCCCACCTGCGTGCCGCAGCCCATCCATCCGCCTAGGTGACATGCATGGCCAAAGGAGTCTCTCACGGCAAATTCACTTACAGTGAGCAAAATCCCTGGACGGAGAAGTCCGCGACATGTGAAATCGAAATGATGCCTCTCTGCGCTGTCGGCTGCCCTGGAGCCTTTGCAATCTGGCTCCGCAGATCCTTGCAGGTACAGCTCTGCCGAGGAAATCGCGGCTTTGGTCCTTCGCTTGACCAACGGGGGCTTGTGGAAGGCCGCTAAGCTAAGCGTCACATCGCCTCATCATGCGAGACATTGTGCCGGGCAGGCCGCCACCAAGTCATTACTCTTGAAGACTGGCCAACGGCTCAACTATCGCATACACTTGCAGCACGTGTATTGAGTTCAACATGTGCGGTTCCAGCTGACTCAGGCATTTGTGGTTATGCAAGCTGCCATGGAGCTGCAGAGAAGGCGATGCTGGCTGCTCTGCAGTAGCTGAGCCTTCAGCACTTGGGACATGCATCGATGTCTGTGCCGCCGGCTCAGGCTGGCAAGTTGGCGAAGGAGTGGCATGGTTGCACAACGGCACAACTGTCCGTATGTATTTATGTGTGTGCGCGTGAGAAAAAGCAGATGTACATCCAGGACCAGCAGGCGAAACCAAATTGGCCACAATCATACTGGGTAGGTATGCAGTTAGGCAATGCAAAATTCAAAAGGTAACGCTGCCTGTCTATCTCTCTCTCTCTCTCGCTCTCTCCCTGTCTCTCTTTCTCTCTCTACCTACGTATCTGCCGACTTGCCCACGTGCCTACCTGCCTGCCTATACCTCTACCTGCCTGCCTCTGCCTACATACCTATCTGCCTACCTACCTATGTAACCTGTGTACATGCATGCGTGTACTCTTGTGCTACCAGAGCTATTAGCTGATACATACGCAAAACATCTAGCATTTACTGCAATACCAACAGGCAGAAATCATGCATCATAAACGCAAATGACAATTCTTCGATTCCGAGTTGGACCGTTTCCCTGCAGACCCATCAAACATGTCTCCGAGGCTTGATGCCTGCGACATTCTTGATCTCACTTTTGTGGCAGCCTCAGCTTTTATGTTTGGGATTCGAGTTGCTGTGGCACTTGGCTGTGTAAGGTAAGCCAGAAGTGCCACTGGCCAGCTGATGTGACCAAGCTTTGGGAGGACAGTGGCAGTCCTCTTCCCGGTGGGAGCACATCTCAAAGCCACTTGCATGCAGGAGCATGCATGTGCGAGTTCGCCTGAGGGGCAGGAGCCTCGAGAGACATTTGAAGGCTTGCAGTGTGGGTTCCGCTTCGGCTGAACGGGCACATGACCAAGGCCGGTCGTCCTGCCCGTCTCACAGGTGATGCGATTCATGGAAGCCTTGGTCTACGATCTCGAGGATAAACGGATAAACTCTTCACTCCTGGGCTCGTTACGACATGATCGTGGAAAGCTGCGTCTATTCCCCCGTAGTCTCCCACAGGAGAAAAGAGAAGAGTCACGGGTAGAGGCCGCGACGCGGACCGACGGGGTGTTTGGGGCTCTACCGAGTTGACCACGTTGCAGGTGCAAAAGCTTTTACCTTTGTCACCTTTCTCCGAGTCCATGGAGGACGGCTTTTTGGCGATGAGGCGGGGAATCTTGCATCTCTGCGCTGCCAAGGACCTCGCGTGGCAGAAAGAGTCAGGCGGGAGCCGTTGCAACGCAGCAGGACTTCTGCCGGCTGGCATAATGTAGGTCGCAGTACGGGCCTGTGGCATGTGCAGCCTTCTGGTCGCCGCAAGCTGCTAGGGCCTCAGCCGGGTAGAACATTTTCAGGGTAGGACTGCTCAGTGTGACAATTGCTTCGAGGCGCGGACTTTGGCTGGAGTTAGTGATCTAGGTCTTCGACGTGATGGCGCGAGAGAGCCACGATTTTCTCTGTGTCTCATCGATTGAGCAGCCACGGCGCTGCAGGACTGCATTCCAACGGACTTGGACCTCTTCTTCCAATGTCAGGCCTCCGAAGACGAAGCCGAAGCTGCCTGGTGCACGCAGCCGTGCCTATCCGTGGCTCTTCCCAGCACCTTATGCACGACCAGGAAGCTACGAAGACTGTTGGCGACGTGTCCTTCATGCTGTACCTTGGCTGCAGGTCGCATGGAGCGCGCTCAGCTCGTTGGCTCTCCCCTCTCTCTCTCTCTCTCTCCCTCTGTCCATCGATCCCGGAAAGCTGAGGCAACTGGACAAGTTCAAGGAGTGGCTTAAACGTAAAGAGCTCAGACTTGGCATTCAAGCTGAAGGGTGAGCAGTGATCTGCAGCTGCTGCACAGTAGTGTGGTCAGATACAGCCAATAAGATGCTTGCTGGTGTCTTCGATGTGTGTCCCCGTTGTTCCAGCAGCTTCGGTTTCCTGATGCACGAAAGTCGTTGGACAAGGTGACTACTTCTCCCAACTGACGGATTGCACCTTCAACCAGTTCAAGGCACCAGAAACAAGACCCAGACGTTGCTGCGTTGCATGCCCAGGGGTGCCCAGCCTGCGTGAGCAGGTCATTGTCCACGACATGCTGAAGTGCCACATTCCAGAGAAGGCATGGGCCACTCCTCTTGTTCTCCCCGAGACTGCAAATGCCGACATCTGTGGCTGAGTCGACATGATGATTGATTGGATCAACAGTCCTACATGACCCCTTTCGCCCGCAGGCTTTGATGGAACAAGTGTTCGAAGCTTGTCCCGTCATCCCAGACGATGACAAGGCCATGCTGCAGCATGTTGTCTGAGGTCGTTGTTTTGGTGGGTTGTCTTGGATGAAAACATGCTACCTCGCATGAAGGCAACGCTAGCTTGCTAGGCTGCATGAAGCGAGCTTCAGCATTGGGCCCCAAAGCTTGCAGCTATTTAGAGTCCTGGCCCTCCTGCCAAACGACAGCGATTGCCAGCAGCGCCGTTCGGGCCGGGTGTCGGCAAACCTTCAGGCATCGGCACGCCGTGAATCTGTGTTTTGTCAGTTGTGGCTTGTGACAGGCTCCGAATGCGAAGCATGTGAACGGATGTGAACTTGTCAAGAGTAGTAGAAGTTGTTCTGTTGAGAGACACCCGTGTGTGTCTCGGGTAGGTCACATACAGAGGGACAACAGCCTCGTTGGTGAATGGCTTTCACATTTTCGCAAGGAGATGGACATCTCCCAAGCCACGGCGTTTGTCGCCACTCGGCCGAGAGAGGGTGCGGCTGCAACTGTCGAATTGCCTGAGATGCCAGGCCCCATCCACGCAGCCAGGGCATCTGCGCGCAACCGCGCCCGGCCAAGTCGCCACTCGCTCTTCTGGGCATGGCCATGTTGGAGGCAGCCCCTTGCATCCTGGCAGCAGTTCAACTACTCACTTGGGACGATCGGATGCACAGTCTAGTCTGCCAGCTCGAGGAAGTTTCGACCAGCGTCACTGAAAGGGCCAGGGTGCTTCTGCTTTCTTTGCTTTCCTGCACTTTCAGGTTGGGCCTGGGTGCTTTCGCCATGGCTGCAGCGGCTGCGAGGAAGGCGGCCGAGGGCCAAAGATAACACTGGAGCGGCGGCGGGGCGGGGGCGTAAGAGTATAAGGGACGTTCTTCATGACTTCTACCAGATTCTAGGACGAGGTTCGTGGGTCTTGTAGTAAAGACCATAAATAAATTACGGGGCTGTTGCCGCTACCTCTGGCATGATGACGAGAGGAGTGAGCCGAGCACTTTCAGAGGTGCTGCAGCAATGCAGTGCACCGCTTTTCTTCATTTCATCGCAGAGGTGCGTGCTCCACGCGCGACAACGCTGCGCAGCCTGGCAGCATGCTTCCTACCGTGCCTGCCCACTTGGTCTTGATTGCGGTCTGTTGATGCACCACCTTGTTGTCATCCCCGAGGCGCAAGTACAGTGGACGAATATATAGCAGAGAACGCACCTTTGACGTGCAACGCAGCCATGTCTCACCTGTGCATGGCATAAGTGTCACCAGTCTCATTTCCCGACTTCAGGATGTTATCGCATTCATCACGCCCACGTGTCCGTTCTGCCGGGAAGCCGTTCCAGACCTAGTCATTTGTCACCGCTGAAATGGCGGCGCTCTTGTACCCTCTGGTTTACCAGAATCTCCTGCATCCCGTTAGGTTGCGGCGTTGACGGATGCAGGCTATCCGCCCGTCACCGTGGAGGTTTCGCCTGGGTCTGACTTGAGGACCGGGTGGGCCCGGCTTAGACCGGCATGAAGGAGAACCTTTTTTCATCGACAGTTCACCGATGTTCGCTCGACAGGAACGAGCTGGCCTCCAAGACGAACTCCACGAGCGTGCCGAAAGTTTGGGTGAAAGGCAACTTCGTTGGCGGATGCAACGATGGCCCGCCGTCAGATTTGGTTCTAGGCTTCTGTGCCTTCCATGGCTTTGAAGTTTGGCAAGAGCCGAGCGAAGACTGAGGTGGCATGGGCGGAGTGAAGCCGCTCCTGCGCAGCGGCAAGATTCAGGCTCGCTCACACATTCCCTGGACGCAGGGCCAGCGACACTCTTAGGCAAAGCCCCTCACGGTCACACATGTTCAGGAGCTGATGTCGTGACATACAAAGAGGGGCTGCCGTCACCTTTGAGGCGACATGTCGAGCATGGCCCGTCTGTCGAAGCAGTAACCTCAATCGTAACCTGTTCGGTCGTACTGAAGCTCACAGTGTCTGCAGTCCTCTTTATTCGTAGAGGCCCAAAAGATTGGCCATGTTCGCGGTCGGCCGAGACCGAGAATCACTATCACTGTGCTTTCTCCGAAACCAGCAGGAACAGCGGGAAAAAGGAATTGCAGCGTGATCCCAACTGCGTGTTTGCGAATTGTGAGCTACATCGGGGCAGGGTGAGCTCCGAGCCATCAGCGACCTTGCAGCCTGGAGCTCAGCGCAAGAAAGCAGCAAACGATTTCTGCGCCATTGACATGCGGATTTCGCCTAGAAGTCCTGTGAAGCATGACCCGAGGCTGCTCTCTATGCGTACACTGACCATGGCTTGTGGTCGGAAGCCTTGCGACGCAGCCTTAGTCTGCGCGCTGCGGGAAGCCTGATTCATTCTGTTTCCATGCCGTGTCTTCTTTTGACCGCGTGGCCGTGGCCATTTCGGAAGTTGCTCGAGACTTGCCAATCATGAACAAGGCCAACAGCCAGCATTCCAGAAAAGCAGTACTTAGTTATGCTGTTATGCTTCTTTATAGGACTTTAGGAACCAAAGACCGAAGGTGAGGGAGTTGCCGGCAGAGGCAGCGTTGTGCGCCTCTGCACAGTGGAGCAGTACACCACATGGGGGCAGCCATAGGTGGAGCAGTTCGTGACAAGCCCGCAGACGACTCGCCTTGCGTCGTGTTATCGCCACACTTGTTGCCATCTCTGTACCAACAAAGAGTGACGCAACTAATACGGGAGACTGCAGACTTGCCTCCAGGCGAAAGCTTGGAGACGACCCTCCGACGCTGCATCGCTTTCTGCTACAACGTAACTCCAGAATGGGCGCCGCATGTCCGAGTTACAGTTTATGCCGACAATGTCAGTGAGCACCAATTGAACGTGCCTGTGCTCAGCACTTTGCTATGCTGTATGGGGGAAAGAGGCTTTGAAGCCGAAGCAGTTCCGTGCAAGCCCATACCCGGCACGGACGTGCATGAAGGTGTGATTCGGCCGAGCGTATTCTGGACTCGACTCGTTTCTTCTGACGGACGTCTCCATTTCCGGAGCCTGGCGCACAGCTACTTGAAGTGGTTCGTGGATCTTGAAGATACAGACTCCCGCAAGCAACTGCTGGTGAATATCCTCCTACAGATGCATGAGGCCTGCTACAACTGTGTAGGTCGACACAAAGAGGTGTTTGAGTTCTGCATTTACGATTTAATGACGGCAGAGCAGATGCAGAAGCCAGCTGCCCAACCGTCCAATAGCTGCCACACCGTCATTTTCCAGCATGCCGCACGCTTCTTGGATCGGCACAAGCGGAATGCATTACATGCCGCTTATCTGAGTCCATTGAAGTACATGTTCCAACACATCTATGAAGTGTATGAGAATTTGGACAGCCATGGATCATCCTTTTGGGTGGCGGTCTTGAGCATCTTCTTCCCTGATCTCAACATGCCTTTCGAGCGGATTGAGCAGCTGGACACTGGCTGGGGCTGGGCGGCGGTCGATTTCCTTCCATCGATGTCATCAAAACCGTCGAGTATTGCACTAGAGAGGTTTTCGAACCCTGAGAATCTGGGCCGAGATTGGCGCTCGCTTACGCGGGACCTACCTGCCCCATCAGCACTTCCCAGGCGCTTTCGATATCTCCCACTGACTCCTGGGCCTAGAGGCTTTGAAGAGGCTTTGCGGCGCATCCACAGCCGCCAAAGCGTGCGGCAGCAGTTTGCACGATACGTGGAACGGTTCACGTCTTTCATGCAAGAGGACAGGTGGGGTAGGGTTCTTTGAAGGAGTTACGTCAGACTTAGTCGCAGGGCCTGTGGGTTTTGCACACCGTACCTGGCTTTCCTTGCGTAGCTCGACTTACAGTGCCCTCGCAGGACCTTCTCTTGAGATGTTGGGCTATGTCTGCAGTGAGTTCTGAAAGATGGGATGCTGAGCTAGGTCCAGCCCTGTCAACCTTGTCAGAAGATACAGTGGGTCAGTTTCTGACACCCTCTGAAGTCAGGGATGCGCTCTGCTCTTTATCGGAGTCGAGCGACATCAATGTAAACACTGCCCGTGCATCGTCTTTTCTCGCGGCTGCAGGTATCACCTGGGCATAAGGAACTTTGCCTTTCTGCACGGGGGTCCGTACAGCATCTCCCGGAGTGGGCTCATACTGGACAGCGCAAGAGGCGTCGCAAAAAAGGCCCACTCATAAGCAGTGGCAGAGTTGTGAAATCGTAGTGCATGCTCGCGGCTCCTGCAAGGTCTCGTTGCGAAGCGCCTCCTGCCCGCAGGCTGGCCTGATGGCGTGTGACACGAGCTAGCACAGAGCCATGCAGTGAGAGGGTATGCCTGCCGGGTATGAGGTGGATACACTGCTTGTGCAAAGAGCTTTCATGCACTAGCTTGTTTGTTGCACAGGAAACTCCCGAGACTATGCAATGGCACACCTCGAAGATGAGTTTGCGGCAGCCCCAGAATGAAGCCTACTCATGCCCACTGAAATAGCGGAGCGTGTCGGGGGCAGCGTGCTGTAGAATCCGGTGTCCTCTCAGCGAAGTTGCTGGTGCCACGTGGCCACGTGGGGCCATCGAAACCCAATTTCACGAAAGCTTTCAGGATTCTCGTGAGGGACAGGGGAAGTGGAATTCTCGCCTGCCTTGAGCGAGTGGCGAGAGTGGAAAGCCTGTCAATACCCAGCAGAAGTCGGCCCGGGCATGTGCGACCGCAAAGCGCTGAATCTCGATGCAGCTCCGGAACCCCAAGGAAGCAACTGACGTTGCGAAGCGAGGCGTCTTGTCTGTCATGGAGGCTCGCCAGCAAGGGCTTACGAGATGGAATGATGACGTGTGAAATGTGTCACCTTAAACTGTGGTTACTTCTCCGTCTATCCATCTGCGTGTTTCTGTCTCTATCTGTCTCGTAAGACCGTCTCTGTGATTGCACACACAACATGGCCAACGTGCAGCGTCGCACGTGGGCTGTCCTCATGCAGTCGCTGGACTTGCTTCAGAACTTGGCGGTTCCGGGACTAACTTGCCCGGGCCTGAGCTCAAAGCGAAGCCGATTCCCGAGCCTTGAGTTTTGAGCCGCAAGAAAAAAAAAGTGGCTGCGATTTGCTGCGCTTGGCTCTCGGCTCTCGGCTCGAGGTGCCGACCTTGGAAAGCTCTTGGAGAAGGAGCTCGGCCTCGAGGTGCTCTGATCTGAGCTTCGGGGCCCTCTTCGAATCTTTGGAACCTCTCCTCTCCTCTCTCCCTCTTTCTCTCTTTCTCGTTCTATAAGAGAGGTTCCTCGTGCTGAGCTGCAGAAGTACTTCACCACGCAGCCTGACTAAGCACTTGGCGTTTCCTCGTGGAGAGCTCTTCGAGACCCTGCGCTGACATGTTATGGCCTCCACTGAAGCTCTAAGGATGGATGTCAATGGCGATGGTCTGTCCGAAGCTCTGGCACGAATCGTTTGTGTCCAATTTTGTCGGGGCTCCACCCTGGGGGAACGAGAACCTTCCAAGGCTTCAGGACGAGGAGTTCATTCAGGTGGTTCGATTCTTGATGCCCGTTTCTTATTGCTGCCCGGTCATCCTGACACAGCAGATCGCGGACTGAAGCAAGGCTGGACTACTATCCCCATCACATTCTGAAGCACCTGAACTTGCTCGCCGGGCATGGGTTCGCATTCAAACCTGCTACTGGTAGTTCGTGGTTCCGAAGCTGCCGCCAGGAGTTTGCCACAGATCGCTCTTTTCATGAGCGGGGTGTTGGCTGCGATCGGCGTGGTGTTCCTTCTTGTTGGCATGCTCAGCCGCCTCAGAGCTGACTTTGACAGAAGTTTTCGTTGAGTTCACGCGCAAATTGCGATGTTCTGAGGTGACGCTCGTGATCTCATTCTTCGAAGTAGGCTGGCCCCCAGGGGCCTTCCCTCAGCGTTTAGTTTGAAAAGAAATCCTGCTCCCGCACAGGGGAGGACATCGGAGCAACACTCCATGGGGGCTTCAGCGGCATCTTCGGGGTCGTCGGCAAAAGGTGTTTTGGCGCAATACACTCTGGGAAGACACGTTCGCATATGCACATGCGTCGGCAACGACACAAGCTGCCAGGCTCAGCGATGAAGGCATAGGCTTTGAAGACACCATGAAGAACTTGGAGCTCAGGCTGGAGGCAAAGTTCCGAACCTGCTGTCACCGCTTCCGTGTCTCGCCTTGTCGGCAAGGCGATGATGGTCACTGCGCTGGTGACAGTCCTCGGCCTTTCAAAGGAAATGCAGGATGTGCCTGGAGCCCAGCTGGTTTTGTGACCGGGCCAGCTTCTGTGAGTTGACACGGTGTGACACGCTTGGACAGGTTCTCAAATGTGATTGCTTCAGCTGAAGCTCGTTTAGTCTAGGATAGTCTAGGGCTCTAAGATCCGCCAACGACGCGACTTAGTGCGGTTGATGTGAGCCCATGTGAGCCGCTGTGAGTCATCTCTCTAGGCATAGTACAACAGCAGCGGGCAAAGCCGAATGGATCTCATCACCCCGCGTTGGATTTGAAACGCGATCGCAGGATTTTTGTGGGCACCAGCCTAGCAGGACTTCTGTCCTTTGATGTCCAAGAGGTCGGGTTCTTGAGGCCGAAGGCCTCAGGTGAACCCGCAAAGTAGCCTCGCCAGGCGTCTAGATGCATCTGATTGATTCAAAAGCCGGACAATCCAATGCACAGTGCTTGCATGGCACGCTGGTAGTAGCAGTAGGCATCCATTGCTTCTTGCTCATGTTTGGCTCTCTGTGCGAAATGTAGTAGGAGTTTAACCCGCAGAGATCCACCGAGATCTTGCTCTGCGGCCGAGCGTCTTGGCTGCAGGGCCTTCGGTTTCGATGTCTTGGCTCTGGCGGCCCTCTGGACAGTTCTCGCATACACCACAGCAGTCGGCTAAGGCAGCTCTTGCCATGCAAGTAAAGGTTGTGCTCCCGAGTGGAGAGGCACAGGGACTGCAGTAAGAGCTGCAGGAGCAGGGGAGCAGGCAACAGCTTCGGATCCTTGCACAGGTCAATGTGCCGGTAGAACCCAACTCCACCCCTGGACACCTGAAGGAAAACCTAAAGTGCGCCAGTCGTGCCTGGGTCAGGTTGCAGCGCGGAATCTTCCATAAGTCATTCGTTGGCAGGTACAGCATCCGCGCGCCTCCAAAGCAGATCAAGCTTACTTGCGAAGGCTTGCCGCAGACCGGGGTCCGAGACATCAGGCAATTCAATGGCTCTGAGGTCGCGAACTTGATGATATCAAGCCACTCGCGGGTGAGCCGAACAATGCTCTTGCCTCAGCGTCCTTTTGTTTATCGCTGTGACGAGGCCAGTATCCGCCAATCGTAGGTCGCAGATGGCGCTGTGCTGGTCGCAGAGAGACGAGAAGGTGTGGTGGAGGCACCCCTCACGAGTAGCTTCTCTCTGACGAGGACCCAACAGATCGTGGATCTGCCCAGGATGAGTCCTTCTCACCGAAATCCTCCCCGCCTCCGGCAATGATCCGCAAGGCGAGATGCGCAACGACTCAGAGCTGGACAGAGAGCCCCAGTGCCGGCTTTTGTCACTGGCTCAGGAGGAGCCTCCAAAGCCCAAGAAGCCCAAAAAGGCGGGGGGCTTTACCTGCTTTCACCCACTTTTCCTTTCGGCGGAGTGGTCTATTTTTCGGTTCGAGGATGTGGTGAGGCCAACTTTGTCCGAGGGCCTCTCGACGGCAAGCAGATTCCATTTCTCTCGTGCACAAGATCTCGACTAGAGACTCAGGAGATGTCAAGAAAGAGAAGACCCTCTCACCAGGACACCAAGGTTGGGCAGTTAAGTCTGCATACCTGGAGGCGGGAGCAGGGGACCCTTGAAAGCTTCTGAGCGTGCACCAGTGCTTGGAGCTTTCACGGGCCAAACATGCCTCGTCATGTCCATGCAGCAACTTGTCGTTCTCATGTTCCGTACGTTCGGGTCTTTGAGCGGATTTGAGTGCAAGTTATTGCAGTGGTTGGTCTGAGGCTGAAGGTCATTTCTGGGCTTCTGAGTATGAACAGCAGGTCATGCTGTGAACTGTGTTCTCAGATACCGTGTTCGATGCAGAATTGTCCCAGTTCAATCTTTTATTATCAGTAGTCGATCGACCTACTCCGTGTTTTGTGTGTGCTTTTCTGCCTCTGACCATGACTCACCGACTGACTCTCTCCCTCTATTGCTTTCTCCTTTTTTCCCTGTCTGTGCTTGCATGCGGGTTGCGTAGGCAAAATCAAAGAAGCGACACATGGCCTATCTGAAGATTGAGAACTGCGAGGAAAAGAAGGCTCGTGTCGTAAGTGTCTGGCCAATGCCAGCGACATCATCGTTGGATGTCAGGCTTACCCAGAACACGAGGACTTCTCAGTTGTGTTGTGTTTGGGAGATCCGCAGTGCTCGCCGGTGTGGACGGCGGGGGGCCCCAGTTTGCTGAAACGCAGCAAGACCTTGCCCACTCAGGGCCTTAGCCTGCAGCCCGTGCTGGCTGGCCAAGGCGGTCGTGCAGCAGTTGGAGATCGGCGAGAGAGCTAGCTTCACGCTCTCGCGGAAGGCACTGGAGGGTTGGGACACAGCGGGCGACGAAACAACATCCCGACGAGAAGGGATCTTCGCTGCAGGTTCTGGACTTCAACCCGGAAAGCCTTGCTCCAGATGACTTCTGCTCCACATGGGAGGCGCAAGTTGTGGAAAGCCAGCCTAACCAGTGTTGTGTTTGTGTGTGTGTGTGTCGGTGCAGGTGGAGCTGCGGCTCTGTTGCAAATGCTCAGCTTGTCATGCTCGGTACAGCAAACGTTTGGCGCCATTGGTGGTCTCCAGTGATGGAAGTGCTTTTGTGCTCAAGGATCCGGGTGGTGGAAGTTGAGGACGTTGCTGAGGACCCCGTGCTGCACATGTGCGTGAAGAGTTTCGTCGTAGTTGTGCACTCCGTGATCTCTCTTCAGCACTGCGTCTGCAAGAGTTACTTGCCTACGATGCTACGATGGCTTGCAGGACTTCCAGCAGTTGCTTCCTAAGTTTGACTGCCAAGCCTCCGAAAGCTTTTCGGTGGTGTTGCAAAGTGTGAAGCAGGCTGCTAGAAATCGAGAGCACTGGCGGGAAAGATCGGGCGGAGGACGTCAGCAACTTGAGTTGTGCAGCTTAAGGGCCTATGCCGCGTCCTGTCTGTCGGGTCAGGACTTGGATGCTGCGGCTGTGCACTGGCGTGTTCGGAGGTGTCAGCTGGCAGACGGCAGTCGGTAGATAGAACAGGCATGACAGCTGCTGAAACAGGCCCAGTTTATTACGTAGTCTTACCATTGGACCATATTGGACCATGGGTGGGGACATCTTTGTGATCTTTCTCTCTTGCTCCCAGTCCCGGCCGACTGCTAGGTGGATGCCCGAGGGCACATTTTGCATCGCCAGCAGCCGGGAACGAATTGCCATTCTGCGGATCCCTCAGCCACTCACCAGTGCCCACGAAAGTGGAGGATATCACGGTGCTCTTTTCAATGTAATTAGTCGTTCATTGCCAGGCCCGGCTATGGTTTAGTGCCTATTGAGGATCAGAATGCATCTCGGTGGAACTTAGTGACCGTATGATGTGAAGCAATCACTTTGGTGCTGCGACGGTTCTGAAACATAGGCACCTCCTGTGCAAGTTGCCGTGGGCGAAGGCTCGGACGTGATATTCTGTACTTGCATGTGCATGTCTCCCAGCATTCCTTGCGCTAGCCGCTAGCTGCTGCTTTGTAGCATTAGTACCACGTGCCTGTTAATGCATGCATGTAAGTAAGTAAGTAAGTAAGTAAGTAAGTAAGTATGTATGTATGTATGTATCTGTGTTCAT